ACCTGAGCCGAAGTCCGACACTCAACAGACTGAGCCACCCAGGCACCCCTATTGGTAGCATTTTTATAAACCTCTAGGTTTCATTGTTTTGCATGAATATTCATAACTAATAAAGAATTGTACAGTTCAAAAAGAACTAAGCCTCAAAAGCTATAGTTAACAATTCCATGATTTCGTAGATTTTTTTTTTCTTAAGTAGGCTCCATTCCCAGCATGGAGTCCCAACGCGGAGCTTAAATTCACAACCCTGAGATCAAGAATCAGACACTTAACTGACTGGGCCACCCAGTAAATGGTGCTACATAGTGTTTTCATTGGACAGTGGATTTTTAAGGGATGAGTTAGAGGCTTTGGCCTCATTTCTCCAGTACTATTAGCATATAATTTCAGAAAACAGAATACAATAAAACCAAACAATTGACCTTTCCAAACTAAGATACATAACACTGGTTTCCCATATTTTTGAGCAATTTCTTTCTTTCTTTTTTTTTTTTTTTAATGTTTATTTATTTTGAGAGAGAGGAGAAAGCACAAGCCAGGGGAGGGGCAGAGAGAGGGAAAAGAGAGAATCCCAAGTAGGCTCCGTGTTGTCAGTTCAGAGCCCCATGCAGGGCTCAGTATCACAAACCATGACATCATTACCTGAGCCAAAATCAAGAGTCAGATGCTTAACCGACTGAGCCACCCAGGTGCCCCACAACCCTTGAGCAACTTCAAAAGCTGCTTCGGAAAAATTGCAGTATTAATGCAATGAACTCCCTTAAACCCTTCATGTGTGTGTATTTCCTGAACCATTTTAAAGTTAGTTGCAGGCTTCATGATACTTTTACCTTATTGTGTTTAAGTATATTCTCTTACATAATCACAATAGAATTATCACGCTCAGATAATTTAGCATGAATACATTATATACGTAGTATATAATCTATTTTTGAAGTTGTCTAGTTATTGCAATAATTTCCAGCATATTTTAACAAAGAACTTTATTCGATTATCCTTTTATAGAACTTTGATGAATTTGTTCATGGCTGTGTATATATAAGCCACTAAAAATGAAACACATATTATGGCTAAAAGACATTTCAGTTTCTTAGCCTTTCTCATTCTTCCCTGCATTAATAGTTGATTTTACTGTGACCATCGCTTTTTCATTTTCCCCACTTTGGAAGACAGACTGCCTTTGAGTTGGCCTACCATGTTGAGGCTCTAGGTTCACTGTAGTCTGAGCAACTCACTTCAGCGTGTCAGCCCCACAGTTGAGCCTTTCAGAGTTAAGTCTTAGTGTATTTACAAATCAGTGGATATTCTCTGTGGGAGTCAGTCTTATGCACAACTTGAGTAATCTCAAGGTTCTGAAGCAATACCCTCCCTTGCCCCCTAGTCAAGGCCCTTTTGCAAGCTAATGAATGCTCATCATCCCCTCAGTTTTCCAAGTGGCAGTAAAACTGCGTGACTTCCTGGGTTTCCTTTTGGGAAGGTTTTGATTAAAAGTTTGGCATTTTGCCTAAGTATCTTTCTGGCTTCACAAAAACTTTAGAATAATCCCTAATAATGAAATCTAATTTCACAAAGACATTACTAACGTTAAAGCTACTTTTTATGTGTCACATATACCAAAAATTATGTTGGGATTAGCTTCTGAAGGTTTTGAGGGAAAGGAGATCCAAAATTGGGAGAGGATCCTAGTGTGAGAGATTGATGGGGTGTGATGTACATTTTGGGACACGCCACCTTGATCTCCAAAAGTAAAGCATACAGTTAAGGGGTGCCTGGCTGGCTCAGTCCAAAGAACCTGTGACTCTTGATTTTGGTCATGAGTTTGAGGCCCATGTGGGATGTAGAGATTACTTAAATAAATAAAACTTTAAAAAGTAAAGCATACAGTTTAGAAGACCAGAGTCATTCTACTTACTCAAAATCAGTAGATAATTAAAGCATTTCTGATAGTAAAGACAGTTTACCATAGAAATAGCATTATGGAATCTAGATTCTGGTTCTGCCATTGGGTTGGTTTATCACTCCCTTGTATTTATTTTACTACACATTTATTCCTAACCAATATACCTATGTGTTCTAGTCAATTTTTTTTTAATTTTTTTAATGTTTTATTTATTTTTGAGAGAGAGACAGAACGGGAGCAGGGGAGGGGCAGAGAGGGAGGGAGACCCAGAATCCAAAGCAGGCTCCAGGCTCTGTTAGCACAGTGCCCAACACGGAGCTTGAACCCACGGACTGTGAGATCATGACCTAAGCCAAAGTCGGATGTTCAACCGACTGAGCCACCCAGGTGCCCCTGTGTTCTCGTCCATTTTATGTGGATTTTTAAGTTGCTGTTGTATGAAAAGTTGAACAGTATCCCATACACTTTTCTTTTCTCTCCCCCAAGAATATGCTCAAGTAATCAAAATGTTGGGAAATGGACGATTAGAAGCCATGTGTTTTGATGGTGTAAAGAGGTTATGTCACATCAGAGGGAAATTGAGGAAAAAGGTAGGTGTGGAGATTTGTTTTACTTTAAAATTATGATTAATGGGGGGAAATGGCTCTATAGTTTTTATGGGTCAAGGACCTCATTTTTGTAAATTACTCAAAGATTTCAGTAGAACAGTGATATACTATGATAAATCAAAACAGCAAACTCCATGATGATAACTTTATACGGATTCCATTTAAAGACGCATTTACGTCACCTATGTTGTTAGGCCCAAAATGTTTAACCTGAAGAATGAAGAATCAATCATCAAATCCAAATTAAGGGAGACTGTAAAACAAATGTCCAGACCCTTACTACAAGGTTAGTGACCTTAAAGTTGGGGGAAATGGGCAGCAGCGGCAAGAGGGCTGAGGGTGAGAACTATTCCAGTTGAATGGAGATTAAAGAGACCTAATGGTTAAATGGGGTAGGTGGCCCATGTATGGATTCTGATTTGAGGGTGGGGGAAATCTTTGTAAAACATGTTAAGAAAATTTCAATATGAATTACATTAAGTATTATGGTGATACTAAATTTCTGGAATTGTGATGCTGGATGGGCTTCCTTGGAAAGTAATGATTAATTTCCCATCATAGTGGGTGTTAAGGCCAATTTATTAGTCAAGTTGGGTAAAAGTCCCTCTGACTCTGATTTTATGGGTTATTTTAAGGAGGTTTGCCAGCTTTGTGTATGTGGGCTGGTGGAAGGAAGGGAGGGAAGGAGAAAAAAGCACATTTCTAACTTTATATTCTCACATATAATGGATAGATAACTAACCACCTGGAGTAATTCACTATTACAAATTACTAAATTTCTAATCATTCTTCTGGAATTAATGAACTCATTTAGTTAAATAAGATCATTCTGTGTGTGTGTGTGTGTGTGTGTTTTAACATTCCAAATTACAGATTTGAAACATGCTCACCTGCTTAATAAAGTTTTTTGGATTTTTTTTTTTTTCCTAATTCTGAATCTAGGTACTTCACCCACAGTTGGGTGAATAGTATTTTATGGAAAGACTGACCGAGTGTTGCTTTGATTCTATATTTTTAAATGTAACATACAGTGACTTTTCTTTCTTAGGTTTGGATAAATACCTCAGACATTATATTGGTTGGTCTCCGAGACTACCAGGTAAAAAATAATAATAATTTTTTTCATCATTCACTTGATTGTATTTATGAGCCATTAATTCTTAGAACTTAAGTCATGACTGTTTTTGCCCAGTTCCACCTCTTCATGCTCTTGACTGTTGTGTTGACAAACATTTCTTAAGGGCTAGTTATGTTTTCAATATTGTGCCTAGTACACTAGTCATCATGGTTCCCAAATGGCCAGTCTCTGGAGTCCACATTTTCACTGTGGAAAAAATAATAGGCAGTGTGAATTTTCCATCAAGCTATAAATGGTCCTTTCTCCCTTTTTGATATTTAAAAAGTTCCCTTTATTGGAATGAATGATGTTATATAGTTGTGGTGTTGTTCGTGTTCTTATTTGTTAAAGTAAAAATGTAATCTTAGGGTGGGCCTCACATGCCAGTTTTTCTTTTCTTTCTTTCTTTCTTTCTTTTTTTTTTTTAATGCGTACATACTGAAATCAAAATATGGAAACTGCTGCTGTAGTATATATAGCTGAATGAGTCAAACTCCCATCCCCAAAAATACTTATGGCTTGGTAGTGAAGAGAATAAGGCACACAAGTAATTACAGTACAAACCGTGATAGAAGTGTGTGCTCTAAATTTGGATGAGCACTTAGGAGAGAAAATGATAGTTGCCCTTCATGATCTCAACCTGGAGACTGCTCATTGTGAGTCTGTGCAATCCATTTGGTTTCCACCTGTTAGAACTCATCACCATGTATTTAATCATGTTGTGAGTGATGTTTCTATTCTTATAACCTTGATCGTACTTTAATTTTTTAAAATATATATTCCAGAATAAAGAATTAAAATCTTTATTATAAATCAGTGGTTCTCAACCGTGAGTGAATTTGTTTCCTCCGGGGAACATTTGGCACTGCCTGGAGACATTTCTTGTTACAACTTGCTGGCCAAGGGGAGGGAGGCAGTACTCTTGGCATATAGTAGATAGAGACCAGGGGTGATGCTAAACATCCTCCATTGCACAGAACAGCCCCTACAACAAAGAATTATCCACTCTAAAATATCAATAGTGCTGAGGTTGGAAAATCCTGCTTTAATACCATTTTATTTTTTTTACATATTTAAAAAAATTTTTTTAATGTTTATTTGTTTTGAGAGCGAGAGAGCACATGTGCATGCTAGCAGGGAAGGGGCAGAAAGAGAATCCCAAGTAGGCTGTGCGCTATTAGCACAGAACCTAATACGGGGCTCGATCCCACAAACTGTGAGATCTCAACCTGAGCCGAAATCAAGAGACACTTATCCAACTGAGGCACCCAAGCACCCCAGTTAATACCATTTTAATGTCCATTTTCTTTTGATTTTAAAATAACCCCAGAAGTAGGAAGAATAATTCTCTCTTTGACAGATGAGGAAACCAAGGTTCAGAAAGATGTAACATTCTGACTATAAAATGACAGAAGACCAACTTTTCTGATTCTTAATCTCCCACAAGCCACCTGTCTGCCCCTGCCACTTAAAAGGGTGGTCGGGGAACCAGTAGCATCAGTGGCTTTTGGGAACTTGTTAGAAATGCAGGGTTTTGGACCCCACCCCAGTCCTCCTAAATCAGAATATGCCTTTTAACAATTTCCCTCTGAGCTTCTATACACAGCTGAAGAAGTGCTGGTTTGAATCACACTGCCCTTGCATCACTGATCATTTTTGTAGCCATTTGGACCTACTTTTAGGTTCAAAGAACTTTTAGAAGTTGAAATAATAAACTTGAACACTTTTTCCTTAACTAAGATTCTTTTCAAATGGGAAAGTGTGAACATTCTAAGGCAGTAGGTGTTTGTCGTGGACTCTAGGTCTAAAGTTCTCTTTTAGACTAGCAAAAGAGCAGACGTAGGATTAAAACAAGAGATGGCTGGGGCGCCTGGGTGGCGCAGTCGGTTAAGCGTCCGACTTCAGCCAGGTCACAATCTCGCGGTCCGTGGGTTCGAGCCCCGCGTCGGGCTCTGGGCTGATGGCTCAGAGCCTGGAGCCTGTTTCCGATTCTGTGTCTCCCTCTCTGTCTGCCCCTCCCCCGTTCATGCTCTGTCTCTCTCTGTCCCAAAAATAAATAAACGTTGAAAAAAAAAAAATTAAAAAAAAAAACAAGAGATGGCTAAGGTCCGCGAAAAAGACAAGAGCCCCAAATAAGGGTCCTTGCCCCATATTTATTTAGATCATAAGGCTTGCAAACGTGATGGGCATGTACAAGGAGACAAAGAAACTAGGAACATTAACTTGACGTGAGGGGGAAAGGGGATTTTGAAGATATACAATGTTTGGGGTTTGGGGTCAATACAAAACAAAATCCAGGCACAGGGCAGATGGGTAGATGGTTGTTAACAGCAGACAGGAGGCGCCTCCGCACCTGTTTATCTTTGCTGGCCTAGGGGATTAGACGGAAGGGGAATAACCTCAGGGTTAACAAGACACCTTTTCTTTTTGTTAACCATCTCAGCTCTGGGCTGCTTTGCCTGAGGTGCAGCTGTCCACAGTTCAATTCACCAATTTACCTAACCTGGCCCTATTCTCCTATGAAAGCAGTTTTCTGCTATAGTACTAAATTTGGGGTGCTTTCACCCTAAATATCTTGTTATTCCTATGTATTGGGCACCTTTGCACCGTTTCTATTTCAGGCCTTTGCCTCTTTCTATTTTGGGGGGCTCAGCACCCCCTCCCTGTTTTTGGACCTTTGCACCCCCCCTATTCTTGGAGTGCCAATCTGGTTTACCCAAACTCGGGTGTGAGCATTTTATTGACTTTGTATTTCTTTATGCCTTATTAACCCATTGGTGTAAGCCTGGGGGATTCCTAAGCTTGTCCCCCGCAGGTGTTGATATATTTGCATCAGAAACACTTGAAGAGCTTTAGAAAATATAAATTCTTGAGCTTCATTCCACATCTACTAATCTGTTTTCTGGAGATGTAAAAGCTCCACTGGAGATTCTAATCAGTTCATATTCTAAGAACCATTGATTCAAGGAAAGGTATATTAATTTCCTTAGGTCATTACAACAGTCTCAGTGTTTTAATTATCCTGTTTAATCATCCTGTAAAAAGATTGGGTTGGCGCAGTTCTGCATGTTTTTTAGAGGGTAGGAGAAAAGTATTATTTTATATTTTTGTTTTAATACTTAATTAAAATTTTAATTCCAGTATAATTAATAATATAGTCATTCAGCAATTCCATACATGATCCTGTGCTCTTCACAACAAGTACACTGGGGAGGAGGAAACTGAAATGTGAAAAAAGTTTATAAAGATGTGAGATTTAATTTTTTATCCAGTTTGAAAGTAATTTATGAAATAATATTTTGGCATAATCAGTTCTAAAAGTTACTTGTCTCTTTCAGGATAATAAAGCTGATGTAATCTTAAAATACAATGCAGATGAAGCTAGAAGTCTAAAGGCGTATGGCGAGCTTCCAGAGCATGGTAATGTCTGAGTTGTTTTATTAACCTGTCATATGGTGTTAGTATTTGGTGTTACTAGGTGAAGAAATTTTGTTAGAATTTTGTGGATTTTGCATATTACTTCAGTGCTTGCATGATTTAAGTATGCATGCTTATACTTCATAATACTGGATACATTAAGAAAAAAAGTAACTTATATCCCTAATAACTACACTCCTGGTGTAGACTTTATAAACTCTGAACGTTTGCATAATACCAATCCAAAGAATAATACTGTTACAGTATTTATTTCACAATAACCTTCTCAAGAGATTGTTGGTATTCATCTACTTTAAATACGAAGCAGTGATTGTAATTAGCTACTGTTGTTGATTTTTACAAAGTCAGTTTTCAGTTCTTATCCTAGGTATCATAGGATTCCATTGGATTTTTTAAAACCAACATTGTCACCAATAAAAAGTTACGCATTCTCATGTGGGAAACTTGAACAAAAATAAGTCCCTCATAACCCCACCAAAGGGGCAGTGTACTTTACATACTATATTGTAAGGCTACATTTTTCACTTGGTGTTTTTGTTTCATTGTGTGTTGTTTTTTGTGTTTGTTTTATCTCTGTTGGAGATTATTAGAAAAACAATATGATTTTACTTAAGCATGAAAATTCTGCTGAAATTCTATACTTGACATTTTCAATCTAGTATGTCTGGGAATAGGACTAGCATGTCCTGGTTCATTTTCTTGCTTAGGGGTAATCATGATTTGACTAAATTTTCTGATTGGTGAATCTGTTTGGTGAGTGGTAAATTGTTAGCCTGTGCTCTGACCTTTTTTTTGAAGCATAGTTGTAAGTTGTAATGGCTTTAGAATTTGTGTGACTGAAGCCTGCCTTACTAAAAATACCTTTGTAAAATAAATAGTCGGGACTACATCAAACTAAAAAGCTTTGCACGGCAATGGAAACCAACAAAACAAAGAGACAACCTATTGAATGGGAGAAGATACTTGCAAATGATACGTCTGATAAAAGGTTAATATCCAAAATACATAAAGAACTTCTACCATTTAACACCCCAAACACCCCCCAAATAATCCATTAAAAATGGGCAGAGGAACTGAATAAACACTTTATTTCTTCAATAACTTTTTTTTTCTGAATAAACACTTTACACAGAAGACGTACAAATGGCCAATAGACATGAAAGGATGCTCAGCATCACTTATCATCAGGGAAATGCAAATCAAAACCACAGTGAGATATCCCCTCATACCAGTCAGGGTGGCTAGTATCAAAAAGACGAAATAACAAGTGTTGGCGAAGATGGGGAGAAAAAGGAACTTTTGTGCAGCGTTGGAATGTGAAAATTAAATGAACAAACAAGGGAAACAGACTCCTAAATATAGAAAACAAACTAGTGGTTGCTGGGGGGTTGGGGGAATAGGCGAAATAGGTGAAGAGGATTAAGAAGTACAAACTTCTAGTTCTAAAGTAAGATGAAAAGTAGCATAGGGAATATAGTCAATTATGTAATAACTTTGGTGACAGAACATAACTATACTTGTCGTGGTGAGCATACCATAGTGTATATAATTGTCAAATCAACTATGTTGTGCACTTGAAACTAATACATTTGTCAAGTATTAAATTAGAAAAGAAATTTTAACATTTATTTTGAGAAAGAAAACAGAGGAGGGGCAGAGAGGAGGAGAGAGAGAATCTGACATGGGACTTGAGTTCACAAACCATGAGATCATGAGCTCAGCTGAAATTGAGTCAGACGCTTACTCACTGAGCCACCCAAGTGCCCCTGAATTGGATTTTTTTTTTAACATTTGCTTATTTTTGAGAGAGTGGATGAGCAAGCAGGGGAGGGGAAGAGAGAAACCCAAGCAGGCTCCGCACTGTCAGCATGGAGCCCTCTGTGGGCTCGATCTCATAAACTGTGACAGTATGACTTGAGTTGAAATCAAGAGCCAGATGCTTAACTGACTGCGCCACACAGGTGCCCCCTGAATTAAAAATACCTTTGTTAGAGGTGCCTAGGTGGCTCAGTTGGCTGAGTGTCCAACTCTTAATCTTGGCTTAGGTCTTGGTCTCACAGGCGTGAGTTCGAGCCCTGCATTGGGCTCCGCACTGGGCATAAAGCTGACTTAAAAAAAAAATCTCTGCAAACAAAATTAGAACTCATACTTTCCATCTTGGCTTAGCAGTGACCTTGAGATTTTGTTGTATAAAATTCTATATAGTAGGGCTGTTAGGTAGAAGTTAGGAGGATCTTTCTTATAACAAAACTTAAAATTCAAGTTGGACTCCTAAGAGTCTCTTTTCATAATTCAACAGACCACTTCTTTTCCTGTTTTTTTTTTTTTTTTTAATTTTTTTTAGTGTTTATTTATTTTTGGGAGAGAGAGACAGAGCATGAGCAGGGGAGGGGCAGAGAGAGAGAGGGAGACACACAATCCAAAGCACGCTCCAGGCTCTGAGCTGTCAGCACAGAGCCTGATGTGGGACTCGAACCCACAAGCTGTGAGATCATGACCTGAGCCGAAGTTGGACGCTCAACTGACTGAGCCACCTAGGCGCCCCAGCAGACCACTTCTTTTAGTGGACAGTTACTCATTTTAATATCATCTTGGTTATGTGAGTGCATTTGTTATTGTTTCTTTAGCTAAAATCAATGAAACGGATACATTTGGTCCTGGAGATGATGACGAAATTCAGTTCGATGACATTGGAGACGATGATGAAGACATTGATGATGTAAGTAGATGCACCTTACATTTTTCAACTTCTGTTTCTGAATTATCTACAGAGAAACTAGCTCTTTGTCCTATCTTTGTTTAATCTAAGAATGTTGAATACTTAGGATATATTTCAAGATTTGTCCATGAATTAAAATGCTCATTATTTATCAGTCAGTTAGTCAAACTGTTTATACTTTGAGGATTCTTATAATCTTTTTCACCATTTCTTCCAGAAAAGATCAATATCTTCTTTGGCATCCTGAATGCTAGGCATTGCAGTCATAACTTGTTTGAGTGTTTAAAGAGATAGCTATTACGAAATTTAGGAGACAGTTGAAAGAAATACAAGATCTTCTCAAAGAAACATGCCTACTCAATTGAAATACTAGTACGTTAAAAGAAGAATCTTGTTTGAACAGCTTGATATGAAGCATTGGAATTACAACATATATTAAAAGTCTTGTTAAAATTGAGACCATTTGTCAGTACACTATTTTATCCGTTGGATATGCACTGTTGGCAAACTCTTGGTTTGGAGTTGGTGTATTTGAGGAGAATGTACTGTTTTGCTAACAGTAAAAGTTAGTTGCTGACTAAGACTGCAACAGAATTACCAGAGCCTTTCAGAACTACAAAGGCTGATCTTGGGTAAGTCTGAGTTAGGCATCACAAGTGGTACCCACTAGCAAGATTCTGTAATTAACATTTTCCTATAGTTGATTTATCCCATATCTCTTATCTTTATTTGTCCATCAATCTATCTTATATTTTGATGCGTCTTCAGACCATTACGAATGCTCGTGGTGAATTAAAATTTGAGTACATATCTTCAATGTGTATATGTGTTTATGAATTTTTATATAAATACAGCATACTTTTTTTCAATGTTCTTTGGAGATCCTGAGCCAGAGAATTCTAGTGACTAAATTGTTAATGATACTTTGATAGTAGATTTAATTATTATATTATTTATTATTTAATGATTATTATTGATTTATTGATATTATTTAATGATTATATACAAGAACCTGACATGGAATTGTGTTGTAAATTAAGGGGTGATATGAACATTTTTAGAGCTGGGGTAGAAGGCATTTTTGGAAATTAACCTAAGCAGAGAACACATTTGAATATGAAACCACATACACAGAGGTGTTAGGATGAGGATCTAGTAAACAAGGTTAAGACTTTCTAAGAAAAAAATTTCTGAATCTATGCCAGTGATTCCTTGGAACTGGACTCTGTAGTCCGGCAGGGAAAGAGATGCTAAAGACAGTGGATACTAAAGGAATTGGAGTTTCCCTGAACCATTTGCAAAGGCAAGGGTTGCCTTTTTTATCACCTGAGAACCCTATTTTTCAAGACATTTCTCCAGATGGTATATAGGTATGCTAGCCTTCTTTCCTATAACCAGATTGAGAGAATTTGCTAACTGTCACACTTGTACCTTTCTTAAAGAAATAACATTCCTGGGGCGCCTGGGTGGCGCAGTCGGTTAAGCGTCTGACCTCAGC